CCCCCCCCCCCCCCCCCCTGCTGCTTGAAGATTTTCAAAGGATCCTCTTTCTTCCCCATCTGTATTCATATTTTTTTTCCCTTTTTGTTTATAATCTGCAGAGGCAGCAAAAGCTTGCAAACTACTTTTAGACACCGTTGAATCTGCATTACCAGAAGGCTTACCTGAAAATTTCGCTAGTGATTGTAAATTGCAAGGGACGCTAACAAAGGCTGTTGAATTGCTTCCAGAATTGTGGAAATCTGCCGGGTCTCCAGAAGAATCCATCTTGTCATACAGGCGTGCCCTTATTTACCAATGGAATCTAGAAATGGAAACTAGAGCAAAGATAGAAAAAGAATTTGCAATTTTCCTTCTATATAGTGGTTGTGATGCGAGTCCTCCCAATCTCCGTTTGCAGATGGAAAGCTCATTTGTGCCAAGAAATAATATGGAAGAGGCCATTCTTCTGTTAATGGATCTGTTGGGAAAGTATATACATGGATTGGTTGTATGGGACCCATCAATAACAGAGCATCTCTCGTTTGCACTGTCTATTGTTGGGGAATTTGGAGCTCTAGCTAATGAGGTTGAACAATTGCCTCCAGGAACTATAGGAAGGAAAGAGAAGTACTGGACACTAGCTCTTTGTTACTACGGGGAAGGTAAAAGCTTAGTTGCGTTGAACCTTTTGAAGAACTTCTTGAATAACAAAGATAATGTAGACTGCTTACTGGAATTGTTGTTAGCTTCAAAGCTCTGTGGAGAGAATTTGGTTTGTCTCGATGAGGGGGTGACTTACATATTGAGAGTGCTTTCGGAATTGGGTGGTAGATGCATCCAGATGGTTTCTATTGCTAATTGCTTACATGGTGTATTACTGTCAGCCATATCCAAATCAATTGCTTCTGATTCTCTTAAAACTTTGAAGCAATCTGAGGCACTCAAGGCACTACAAACCGCCGAGCAACTGATGAAACAAAGGGATCCATTCATTGTGTATCATCTTTGTCTTGAATATGCTGAACAGAGGAAGCTGGATAATGCTCTATACTACGCAAAACAGCTAGTGAAACTCGAGGCTGGGTCTAGTGTGAAGTCCTACATCCTCTTGGCCAGAATATTGTCTTCCCAGAAACGGTTTGGGGATGCAGAGACTGTAATCAACGCTGCTCTTGAGCAGACAGGGAAGTGGGAACAGGGCGAACTCTTACGAACTAAAGCTAAGCTCCAGATTGCACAGGGCCAGTTAAAGAGCAGTATAGAAACATATACTCATCTTCTTGCTATAATTCGAGTCCGGACTAAAAGTAGTGGAGTTGGAAAGATGCTTTCAAAGGTAAGGGATTCAATTTCGTAAGATCAAAGCTTTTTCTTGTATTGTTATTGACATTTCACTGAGTTCTTGTGGATTAATGTTTTGGTATCTGGAAGTTCTCTTCCTCCAGCTCGCATGAAAACTGAATTTTCTTGTCTTTCAAAATGTCTTGTGAGGTTTGAGAGACCGGATTTGGTGCCTTCTCACTTGTATTACTATAACCATCAAGCTGAGTTAATACAGTTAGTTCATTTATTATTTATTGCTTTGTTTCACCTTAATACAGGATGTGAGAACATCTGACAGAAGTCTGGAAATAGAAACATGGAATGATTTGGCCAATATTTACACAAGCTTGTCTCAGTGGCGGGATGCTGAGATCTGCCTATCAAAATTGCAGGCAATCAATCCATATTCTGCTTCTAAATGGTATTCCACAGGTAAACGTCATCCCCATTTACTTTTGTGGCTCAAATACTTTCCCATCTAATGTTCTCCTCAATTTATTTTATTTTTTAATCAATTACTTGATCTACCTTCTTCATGATGCTAAGAAATTGCTTAGAAGTCCCATGTTAAAGATTACCGAGTTACTTCTTCAGAAAGCATTTAGTTTAGCTATGATTCTCTTTTGTGGGCATTTTTTACTGAAGAAAAATAGAGGCCAATGGTTTCTTTTGGATCGTTACTAGAAAAATAGTGTTTGGTTAAGAACATCCCCTGGAGCCTTGATATCTTTTACACTCAATAATGAATTCATAACTTGATGAATCTGGTAGGTTTACTGTATGAGTCTAAGGGTCTCCCACGAGATGCTTTGCAAGCATACAACAAAGGATTAGACATCGATCCTAACCATGTTCCCAGCATGATATCAACTGCCCGTCTTCTCCAACAACTGGGCGGCAGGCAGTCATTTCCTGTGGTAAGAAGCTTGCTAACCGACGCCCTTCGACTTGATCGAGAAAACCCATCTGCATGGTACAATCTCGGGTTGCTATACAAAGCTGATGTCGGGGCATCCGTGCTGGAGGCTGCCGAATGTTTTGAGGCTGCAACTCTGCTTGAAGAGTCAGCTCCAGTTGAACCTTTCAGATGATGAAAACTTGCCTTCTTTCTCGTAGAGAAGTTGGATTTTGCTGTCTTAGTTCTACAGGTTTACTCAGATCTTCCATTTGCTTGCTGCATTTTCTTCTTCGGGATTAGGAACAATAGTAATAGATGATTGGCACAAAGTAGTGTGTAAATAGAAAAGCAAAAATACATAGGCTGTTAGTTTCCTAGCCAACCTTCTTGTGTTTTTTTTTTTTTTTTTTTTTTTT